GTAACGAGTACTATTCAAGCACCACCCGCCTCGTTGAAGGTGAAGTAGCCAATTGCGTGCACCTTCACCTTTCACAGCATCCCAATTATATGCTGGTGGGCTACCATCCAAACATACAGCTCCTTCATCAACAGCACTCTTTCTAATAAATGTTGGAACACTGGGGTCTATTCCTATTAAATGTGTTAGATGTTAATATGGACTAACATAAACTACAATAACGAGGAACATGACGTCGTTATAGCGAAAGCTTTAGGATTACCCAAATGTCTCTCGCCATAGTTGTTAGTATTGCCGCTAGGATGAAAAACTTGCAGAATAGTGTTAGTGTTTTGTCTACCACTTCACTCACGAATACCAGATGGTGTGTGTATGCTGAAACGAGAGTTGTGGGGTGACTATTTTGCTTAGAAGCCGACATACCATCAATATAAGCAGATATTCAGTTAAAATTATATTGAATATCCTAAGTTACCTAACTAACTAAATCACTAACTGACTTAATCATCTACTTGCACCACAGCGACTTAATTAATACAATATATTATAATATATTATATTAGAGAAAATACTTACATTCTCTCATTTGGTGCAAGTACTGTCACAACCTTCGTTAAAGAACAAAACACATAAACCATAGTAATATGTCCTCTACTAATCAAATGAGTAAGGAAGTTGTGGCTACTCCCAACTCATTAAAAGTATAAGATTATTGGTGTTAGCGAACAGAGCTTTCGGCAAACTACTCGTGTTCGTGTTCGGTAAGCATTCGTTTATGTTCGTTTGGTAAGGGAAACGAACCATTAACAAACAAAAATTAGAACTCCGTTAACAAACGAACAGAGCTTGAATAGTTGTATGCGCGTTTGCTAAGAGATCGTGAACAAGCTCGTTTGTGTTCGTTTAATAATGTTCGTGAACAAGCTCGTTTGTGTTCGTGAACAAGCTCGTTTAGTGTTCGTTTAATAATGTTCCCGAACATGAACGTAGATTATTTCTTGTTCACGAACGAATTATGATCACGAACATGTGCATGTATTTAATTATTAAAGGTTCACAAATGTGTTCATGAACGGAAACCAACATGTTCGTGAACGTGTTTGTTATCAAACATGTTTGTGAACATGTTTGTAAACGTTAACGAACACGTTCATGAACGAGTTAGTTAACGTAAACGAACACGTTCGTGAACATGTTCGCGAACGTTAACAAACACTAATGAACACTTAACAAATGAACACGAACAGAATTTTCAAAAACCTTAACAAACGAACACGAACACGAACACCCCAAAATTCTTAACAAACAAACACGAACAACATTCGTTCGTTTATGATCGGTTCGTTAACAGTCCTATATAAGATCACTAGACAATTGTTATTGCCATCTTTATATGATTTGAAATTTAGACAATTTTTAGTAAATTAAAGATGTTGTTGCTACTCTTTAATTAATCTAAAATTGTAATTACTTGGCAAAAGTAAAATTTAAAGCGTAACAAACAAACTATACTGACATATGATAGACAATTTCCAAGTATACTCCCAGGAAAGTTGGTCGGGACAAAGCCTCATTAAAAACCAACTCCTTAGACAGAGTAGCGTCGCAAGAGGACTAGTAGCAAGAAAGCTTTAAGCCAGGACCATAGAACTAGTAATCATCCCCAAGAAACTTCCTTGGTTCATGCTTTCTCATATTCAATGTATAGTAGTTTGATTGGTTCTAAACCAAACAGGATAGTTCACCTATAGGTTAGGCTTTAAATTAGTGAACTAAATTTACGGACTGGACGTGCTTAAATTCAGGTACTATCGCAACTAATTTTTGCATAAAGTTTAACTTAATAAAGAACTAAATCCATTCTCAAACTATACTTTCTAAAGACGTAACAAATCACATAAGAATAATAAAACAGTAATTACCAATAATAATAAAATTGTAATTAATGATTTACGTACCTTAATGGTGCAAACTGCATGTATCCATAGCACTAACATCGATAGCAAAGAAAGCCTCCAAAATTCTCCATCTTCGCGAAGAGTTTAGTTATCTCGTTGATGCTAGTAACCTCAATGAAGCGCTCAATGGTACGTAACAGTTTATTGGTAACACTTAACTGCAGACACTAAATATTATTAAAAAAGAATCACCAAAAGGTTGATGACTCCCTATATATTAATGTGGTTAGTTTGTAAAGAGAAAACAAAAACAAAGAGAAGCATAGCATTACTCGTACTTTTTCTAGCAAGTTTGACAGATCAGATTTTAAAGAAATGGAATGCAAATTCATACTGTTATTCTTCGTCGTTCAACTCACCACTTCTACTGGTATATGCTTGCCTTATTCTTTTTCTAGTTAGTACTCTTAAGCTTTGAAGAAATTTTTTTTTAAGAGTACAAACTAGAAAAAGAATAAGGCAGACATATACTAGTAGAAGTGGTGAGGTGAAGGACTAAAAATAACAGTACGAATTTGCATTCTATTTCTTTAAAATCTAATCTGTCAAATTTTCTAGGAAAAGTACGAGTAATGTTATGCTTCTCTTTGTTTTTGTTCTCTCTTTACAAACTAACCACATCAATATATAGGGAGTCATAAACCTTTTGGTGAATTTTTTTTATGTGATTGGACCCTGGTCCAAAACAATATTTAGTGTCTGCAATTAACATATTATGTGTTTGTAGTTAATAAAATATTGTCTACTACAATTAACATATTATGTATGTTAATGGTTAAGTACGAAACACATAATATGTTAACTACATGTAAATACTATGTTAACTGCATATACATAATATGTTAATTGTATTAGACACAAAATTTATTAACTACAAATACAAAATAGGTTAACTGCGTACACAAAATCTATATGTCATTTTGAATCAAAGTCTACAATACAAAATGAACACTAGTCTATATCATTCTTCCAAAAGGTTGAACCCCAACCCTAAGGGACACTGGTCTATATCATAAACCTATGAACCACAGCCCAAGACCCATTAAAGTTTCAAGTTATTAAGAGTAAATATTATTTTTGGTTCCTTGACTATCATAGCTGAAGCACTTTTGGTCCTTGACTATTGTTTTTTTCAAATTAGGTACATGACTTTCTAACTAGTATCACTTTTGGTCCTCCGGTCTAATTTTTCGACAACATATTACCGGAATTCTAACCGAAAAAAATAATATGTTATAAATTTGAACTTTAGACAATTTTTAGTAAATTAAAGATGTGCTGGCTACTCTTTAATTAATCTAAAATAATAATCACTTGGCAAAAGGAAAATTTAAAGCGTAACAAACAAACTATACTGACATATGATAGACAATTTCTAAGTATACTCCCAGGAAAGTTGGTCGGGACAAAGCCTCATTAAAAATCAACTCCTTAGACAGAGTAGCGTCGCAAGGGGACTAGTAGCAACAAGGCTTTAAGTCAGGGCCATAGAACTAGTAATCATCCCCAAGAAACTTCCTTGGTTCATGCTTTCTCATATCCAATGTATAGTAGTTTGATTGGTTCTAAACCAAACACGATAGTTCACCTATAGGTTAGGCTTAAATTAGTGAACTAAATTTACGGACTAAACGTGCTTAAATTCAGGTACTACCGCAACTAGTTTTTACATAAAGTTCAACTTAATAAAGAACTAAATCCATCCTCAAATTAACTTTCTAAAGGCATAACAAATCGCATAATCTAAAAAAAAAAAAAATATATTATGCTTAGAATAGATAATGCATAAAATTAAATTATAAACTCATATATTCAAATAAATTGCATAACTGAAAACAATTTTGAATATGAGCAATAACAGCAAAGTATACAATTAATATTCAAAACTAGTATGACTTCTAACAAAAATAAATCCACAAAAAAAAAATGAATAATAATGTAATAAATATACACTTTGAAAGATTAAATACTATAAACCCACATGAAAATATTTTAATTGCATAAAATTAAATTTGTGAGAAACAGGCTGAATTCACAAATATCAAGTCATAGTATAAGACTATATGTTATCATTCGTAAATAAAAATCTCACAAATCTTAGTTGCATAATTAAACTTAATATTATGCACTTAATGTGACTGGATACATAAAATAATCTAAAGAGTATGAAAAAACACCAAATTTATATTCACTTATTCATACTCAAATAAATGTGAGCAATAACATCTAAAATCATAATTCAAATACTACATAAATTATGAGATAGATGTAAAAAAAAAAAAAAAAAAAAAAAAAAAAAAAAAAAGACAATAGTCATTTGTTTAGAAAACATGTTTTTCCAAAATTGAGGGGAGCAACCTCTCAAAGTGAAGGGGTTCCTTGTGCGCAATGAGCACAGGTCTAGCCTATGTGGTTCATGTTCATTTTGAGTTACCATGATTTACATCCTCCCAAATGTTCTGTTAGGTCGGGGTGTGGGGGGCCCTTAGGGTTGGGGTTCAGCCTTTTGGAAGAATGTTTTTCCAAAATTATGAATTGATTAAAAATTACTCTCCAAAACTCAATTAATAGTATTATTAATGACATTAAATTACAAATAAATCCAAAAATTACTAAGTATCCATTAATAATATTATTATACTAATTTGGAGATTAAAGTTGGAAAAAACAATTGTTAAACCCGTTCACCTTTAAAACATTTTCATATATAACTTTAAAATTTAATAAAATTTAAATTCCAAAAAATAAATGCCACATAAATCAATTTGGAAACAAATCATTCATCATGACTTAATACCATAAAAATAATATTATCATTAATTAAAATATTAATAGTAATAAGGAGCATTATAATTACCATTAACATTTTAATAATGACAAACATGGTAATACATGTCTTAATATATTCATGGGACCCTATTTTCATATTTTCATATTCTTAAAGATAAAATATGAATATTTCAAAAATAGTTTCTATAACAGTAATTATTGTGCACAAAAAAAATACCAATAATAATAAACTGTAATTAATGATTTACGTACCTTAATGATGCAAATTGCATATATCCATAGCACTAACATCGATTGCGAAGAAAGCCTCCAAAATTCTCCATCTTCGCGAAGAGTTTGGTTGACTCGTCAATGCTAGTAACCTCAATGAATCGCTCAATGGTACGTAACTGTTTATTGGTAACACTTAATAAATAATCAAATAATTATTACGAAAAGCAGTAAACGAGATTCGACCAAAGCTTAATTACAGTAATTAATGAAGCTAATAACTATAATAAAGGCAAAGCTGCAATTAAGAAAATGTCAAATGTGAATCTTAGTTCACTACATAATAATTAATTGAGACTATAATGAGTAGGGAGACTGAAATTAAGGTTATAATCAGATTATCAATGTAAAGGTAATATATCAACTACGTACATTGTTTGCCATAAACTTAATATTATTATTAAGGACATTAGAACTATTGATAGATTAAAACATAATCAACTTAAATAATAGCTATAATTTTTAATGGCCAAAATAATAATTATAATTTTTAATGGCTTCAAATGGTAATTAAAATCATTAAACTCTTAATGACTCAAAATGGGCTAAGACAAATAATTATAGCACTTAATCACTCAAATGAAGCTCATAAACCTCAATGGCCCAAGTCAGTAATAACATGGATGAAAAAATAGTCTAATACTAAAATAGACCCAAAACTTAATATTATTATCAACGATGAATACCAAAATATGATAGTTAGTAATAATTAATTAAAACTTAATAAACATGTTATAAGTCAAATAAAAAAAATTTATAATTATTATTAAAATATCAATCAATAATGGTGGGATTCATACTTTAATGACTCAAGATAGGTCTCAAATAGCTTGTTCAAAATAGATTTTAAAATCTCAAGTGAAAAATAGGACTAAAGTATGTTCAAAATTAAATGAGAAACTACACAAGTTGTCTTGATATGCTATAACGTCTAAAATTGAATGATATTTAATAATAAATTTTTGAGTTAATAATATGCTAAATTCATTCCTAAAATATGTTTTTCTAAATGCATAATTATAACAATAAAAATAATTTATAAATATACCTAGCATGTTTGGATTTGCATATTAATATATTATTAACAAATATATGCTAAACAAATTGTAACACTTAGCCAATTTAATATAAATTTTAATATTAAATTAAAATCCAAAAATAACAAATTAAAACTTAACATTTGTCCCAAATTGAACGATAATTTAATACTAAATTAAGGAAAATTTAATTTTAACAATTAAGTAGAAGAAATCCAAATATGATAATGAAAGAACTGAAGAAGTCCAAATAAAACCAATAGGCCAGAAATTATTATAAACTTTATATTCGGACCTATGTCTGTCAGAATTGGCCTGACCCGGCCCAATGAATTAAAAATTACTCTCCAAATCTCAATTAATAGTATTATTAATGGCATTAAATTACAAATAAATCCAAAAAGTATTAAATATCCATTAATAATATTATTATACTAATTTGGAGACTAAAGTTGGGAAAAACAATAGTTAAGGCCAAGACCGAGCTCTACCAGATACAGTAACACCAACGAGATTACCAGAATGTACATAAAGGAAAACAAACCTCGCCAGAGTAAGGTAGTATATCCGACTTCCATTCAATCATTCGCAGAAGTTTGACCACCGATAGACCCAATTGACCACCGGAAAATACAGAGGAGAACTGGCACGGAGCTTTGACCACCACAAAAATTCAATTGACCAGCCGGAAAAATTAGGAGGAAGAAGACGGTGGACTATTGACCACCAAAGTTCCTTTAATAGAACTGTTACCGGCCAGAAAAAAAAAAAAAAAAAAAGAAGAAATAGGAAGACGGTGTACTGTTGATCACCGGGAAAATTCTAAGCAAGATGCTATTCTCCGGTGAAGACCTCCGTTGACCACTCAAGAAACCCAGATGGATAAACACGAACACCCAAAGGAGAATACGGCGGAAAAGTGAAGGATGGAGAAACCCAGAAAAATCAAGAACTTGGAAAGAAGTTGAAGAAAATTGATTAAAAGAGAAAAGTCAACCAAATTAATTTTTACTAAGATAATTAGACCTGAATGAATTTGATTGATCACATAACGACGCACCATTTACCCATCCAAAGAGATTCCTCCATTTCACCCTCAATACTGTAAAATCTTACTGTTCCAAGAAAATTAGAGCAAGAGTTAGTTAACTAACAAAAAACCTGAGGGTTCGCCGTGATTCATTTTTACTAAGATAATTACACCTGAGGGTTCGCCGCGATTCACACCATTGCTGTGCGCCACCGACCTCCATGACCGCCAGATCTGCTGCTGCCTCGCCGGAGATCAGCCTCTGCCCGTCGCGCCAGAAAAAGGAAGAAGGGGAGAGGAGTCGCCGGAGCTACTACTCGTTCATGCCGGAAGGAGAGTTGCCTCGTCTGCTCACTGCCGTAGCCACAGCTCGCCGGAGGAGCTGCTATTCCGACCTCTCGCCGCCGTCGCCACATCTCACGAAACTCCACCATGTCACCGCCGATGTGCTGCTTGACGTGGAGGAGAGATAGACACCGAGAGACGAGAGACAAAGGAGGAGAGGGGCTGCCGGATGGGATACAGATAAGAAGAAAGAACGGTGATATAGAGGGCAAAGCGAAATTACCCGGGTGATTTTCACCAAAAAAAAAAAGAAATTACACGGGTGATGCATTGGAAAGTATAAAAATATTTTTAATCATTTTGTGTGGTGTTTTATCACATAATTCTTCTCAAATGAAAAGATAACACATAATTGCCTCCTATTCTGTGATGTAATGTCTTATTGAGAATTAAAAATGAACTATCCTAATTGTATTTTGCAACAAATTAAAATTAGACTATTTTGTTAAAAAAAATCATTTTAAGAACTAGCATGTTACCCGGGTGACGCAAGGACTGAAAATTATAAGTATTGTTATTATGTTATGAAACTAATAACTATTAGTCTTATTAAAATTAAATTCAAATAGAACTATGTTATTTTTTTATTTTTTATTTTTTTCCTTTCAAAAAAAATGTTATGTGAAACTTATTAATTTAACCACAAAATTTAAGATTAATTTTCAAATGTTAGTCCGAGTTATTTTTGAAGTGCATAATTTGTGTAAGTCATGTATAAAATAAAAATAAAATAAAAACTATGGAAGTTAGGTAATATAATTCCGAAAAATGATTCACCAGCAAAATTGTAGTATTATGTGATAACATAACACAATGAGGTAACCATTATTTTTTAGCTAAGAGATAAATAAATGGTGTAGGCTTGCTTATATAGTATTCTATGAAAACATAGCACATGGACGTTAACCTTTTACTTTTATCTAAGTGAAAAAAAAATATACAAATCGTCTTTTGTCCCTATTAATTTTATTTATAAGTTTTTTAACCAAAGAAACTTAACTATTATTAGAGATTTGAAAATATAAGGAGAGAGTACATTAGCATTCAAAAAAAAAGGAGAGAGTACATTACCAAACCCTTGAAAACTTGGGGACAAATTAAGTTTGAGGAGAAATCAAATACGGAGTAGTATTTTTCTTTCTCTACAAACGTAACAACAATAATTCATTTTCATTTGGAAAAAGTATTACTTGAATTCAAAAGTTTTACTTCCTATTTTTACTTATACAATTAAAATTTTAATATTGACATTTTTCTTAGAATCCACAAGATGAATAATTGAATATTACTTAGTAATAAATTTATGTTGATGTTTTAAAAAATAACCAAACATAAAAAATATAAATTTTTAATTGGGAAAATTGCAGTTTTCGTCCCTAAGTTACAGGGTAATTGTAGAATTCGTCCCTAACTGTTGACCATACTCACTTTTCGTCCTTAAGTTATCATTGACGTTGCACTTTTCGTCTCTCTACTAATAAAACATTAGAGACGAAATTTGTAATTTTAGTATCACTCAGGGACAAAAAGTGAGCACGAAAGGACAAAAAGTGCAATGACAATGATAACTTAGGGATGAAAAGTACGTGAGCATGACCACCACTCAAACACGAATTCTACAATTATCCTATAACTTACGGGGCGTTTTGTTAGATGTAATTTAGTTGTAATTGAATTGTAATTCAATGAAGGCTTCAATTACAGTGTTTGGTTGGAGAGAATTGCAATTTCCTCCTTTTGTTGAATTGCAATTCATAGGGTACCCCGTGAATGAGGTCACTTAACGTCCCAAAAGTTAAAGTGAGGTCTCTTAAGGTATGACAATAACTTTAGAGTTCTAATACATGTATTCTAAATTTTACTCAGCTCCTTCACTTTTATTCTATGACATGGCAAGTAAAAATTGAATATTTTCATTACGTGAATCTCAAGAAATGTGTTTATATTAAAAATTTATAAGAAGAAATATAAGTTGAGAGTAAGAAATGAGAGTCCATGTAATATTTTTTATAACTTTAACGTCCCATAAATTAAAATGAATGAGATCTCTTAAGTTATGGTGTATATATTATTGCCATGACCCCATGAGGTCACTTTAACGTCCTATAAGTTAAATGGTAGAATCAAACATAACTTTTTCACCAAAGTAACCTGCATTTAATAGGAGAGTTAAATCTAATTTGTAAGAATTAATTTCGAATAAATTCAATTTTAATTTTTAAAAATTAACGGTCGTAATCATTGTGTTAAAATTTTATATTAAATTATAAGTTGTGTTACAAATTTGATTTAATTCAGATGTTAATTTCACTTTTCATTTTCTATTTATTTTTTTTTCTCCTATAAATACCTTGTATTGGACAAATACTTTGATGACTAGTTTTTAAACAACTCCAAGTTTCGATTTTCTCTCTCTCTCAAAAATAATTTTCTTTAGAAAATTTCTACCAACACTTCAAAAAAAAAAAAAAAAAGTCAAAATTTTATGTTCTAGTACAGTTCACGTAGAGTCATATAGATTCAATGATTAACTATATTATTGTAATCTATTTTGTTTTGGAGACTAACTTTACCATGCTCCTCCTAGCGTCATCAAAAGGTAACGAATTAGTTTTAAGGAATCAGCTTTAATGAAAGTGTGCACAACCTAAATTTTTCCTTTATTCATTCTTTCATTTCTTTGGGATTTTTTTTTTAAAAAAAAATTCTAATCTTGTTATTATATTTACTTTTTATATATAAATTTAATTTATAGACTTATTTATCTCTGAATATATCAAAAATTTGTAAGTAATAGTAGAAAATAGGTGTCCACATAATATTTTGCTCACATGTTAGTGTTAGCTATATTTTCATCTATTTTATTTTATTTGTGAAGCTTTGTATATAGGGAAAAAAAAATTGATTATGTATAATGAAATTCATTGATTAGGTAAAGTCCTATATTTGAACACAACACTACATCCAATGTACATCCATTAGTTTTACCTATGTATCGAAATAATTATAAAAAGAGAAAATAGCATTTTTTTTTCATTAATATATATTTATAGCATTTTTTTTCTCATAAATTATTTATGTGGCAGTTTTCCCCCTTGATATATTAAATGGACATATTTACCCTCAAAATAAATATTTCATTTATTTATCTTTTCTAACAAATTATGACCACGATTTGGTTCAAACCGAACATACAATATAGCAACCAAATCAAACGGTTTCGATTACAACTTAGAACCAGAACCCGATATTTAGAATTTATTAAAATCGCGATCCGAAACATCTGATTCATGTTCCGGAAAAAAATAAAATACATTAATCATAATAAAATTTGGTTATATTCCTAAGTTATTAAAACAAAACAAAACAAAAAAAATATTACTGGGGACTTCATTAATTTATTTTCTTTAAGTTACGTTAAGCTAAGTTAGCTAACTATATAGAAAGAGGTCAAGAAGTACGACCTCATGTATAAATATCAATAATTATTTTACATTAATTTAAGCCATACATATAAGAGTTACCTACCAGCTTGGAAAGAGAGCCTATGAAGGCCTTACACTCTAGCTATCTAATTTGATCTTGTTGAATGGTAACCTATATTTAAGATTACGGATAAATGCAATTTATATTACTATATTAGAAGGCATGTCTAATTAATTTCTATCCATAAAACGAATGAGTAGATAGGATTATATTGTAGATACTATTTTTTTTATTTTTTATTTTTTTAGAATAAAAGCATACTAAATTTTATTTTTATGCTATAAGTTTGAATTATTTGTACTAGGGGATGGGGATGGGGATGGGGGTAATGAAAATGCAAAAGGAGAGGAAAGCTATGAATGGGCACTTTGAATTTATTGGTACGAGGGGATGGGGTAATGAAAATAATGCAAAAGGAGAAGGAAAATTGTGAATGTGCAAGCTTCATCTAAATCACTGCTTGAAAGCAAATGCTCTATCCATTTTCAATTATTCTTTTATTACAAATTGTCAAATAAGCTTCATAACAGAGTGTACTCCAAAAAAAAAAAAACAAAAAAAAAAACAAAAACAAAAAACAAAAAACAAAAAACAAAAAAAAAAATTATGTTACTGATTCTATTACATTGTAGTATATGTTCAAACATATTTTTTCAACCTTTATTGAATCACAAAGAGTCAACAAATAATAAATAAATATCAATTTTGAGTGCAATTTAATTTTTTGATCGGATGACATGTAGTGATTTTCTCATATGAGAGGTCATGAGATCGAATCTTAGTGGATGCATTATTGATTTTGTGCTAATTTTAAACAAATATCAATACCACTTTTTGCTCCCAAGTGCAACTTAATTCTTCAATTGAAAATAATAAACAAATAAATAAATTATAGGTATTTTGCTCTTCAATTTCAATTCCGATCCTTTTAAATATCAAGTTTTTGAGTAAAGAAAGAAACTTACATCCACTATTCGAAGGTGTGTACTAGTTAAATCCCACGTTGTGACTCTAACCAGTAAAGATTCACAATGAGGTAAAACAACCTAGATTGTCCATAACTGATCAATTCAAATCAAAAAGTCAACAAATCACAATCATTATTTGATGATGTGTAGTAAGTAAATCCCGTCTTCTGACTCAAAATGATAAACCAACTATTATCTTTTTTTTTTTTTAATAACTATTAACTTTTTCAATTTTCAATTTTCAACTTAGCTTTTAATAAACAAACCATATATGAACGAATTCATTAGTGCTGATGTATCAATCGCAACTAGTATTGTTCCATTTGTCCATTTGTACAACCTTGAAAATTGAAGGTGACGTGGTTCAATTAATTACCCGGGTACCTAGCCACCTACCTAATATTATTGTTTTTTTTTTTCTAAGAAAATATTGTTGTTCTCAAAACTTGAAACTCCAAACTCCAACTAACTCTTCACATCACGCCCCAAGCATTTTAATACTACATATTAACTTTTAATATTTTTTAAGAGATGAATGATGAATTATCAATCTTGGAAGAGTAATATTACACATACTTTCATTTTAATACTACATATTAATTTTTAATATTTTTGCCAATATGAACAACTGAGTTGGTCACATTGGTGAAGTTTAAGAATAATGATCAAGGTTTGAGTCTTACCTGCGACTGTGTGAGAGGA